ACAAGCCTTCAGAAGGACGAAACCGGTCATCGTTTGTCGAATACTCCTTCACCACTTAACTGGTCGGTCCTTTCATCTACTGTAGTTAGTTCATGTTAGGATCAACATCAATCTGTTAAGATTTGCATCGTGTGGTTTTGTAGGACCGCATTTCAACCTACGTCTCACCTTTATTATCTCTCTGTTCCTTTTTACTTCACAGAAGAGCGGAGGCTGAATACGAAGAAGTGGCGATGAATTTGCTCAATTCACCCAATATCCCGCTTCAATTCTCCAAGGTAAATATTGGTTTTGATTTTGTGCCTGCTGGGACTCACCAGCAGTTCAATTCGGATACATTAATTTTGTTTCTAGAATGTACTTTGGGGGCACTGTTTTTATATTAATGACAATGTCCTCAGATAGCACTTTTTTGGGTTCACTGGAACCAGATTCCCCCGCACACCAACACAATCAGTGGCAGTTCAAAAGCAGAAGTATACGACTGGTTTGTGACGTAACGTGCCCGGCTTGTAGATTCTAATCAAGGGAACAAGAATGGACCTCAGTTCCTTTACAGACAAGTCACCATTCTGGAGATTGCACGTGGGGCCTCTTAGTTGTGTATCGGATGGAGCAGCATTCATTCCAACACAGTCTCGAAGTACACTCTATCGCAAGTTGAGTTGCTGTCAATGGGAAACTCAACTGAATCTCGTTTCGGATATTCTGATTGTGCTGTACAAAGGCTGCCTTGTGTTTCAGTTGGTACGATAATCTAGATATCGCTTCGGTAGCTTACAGCCGGTAACACTCTTCAGTTCAGCCTCTCGTCAACACCAACTTAATTCGCCAATGAGTGTACTCGGCCAGCTGCTTACAATCTGGTGCCCAAGTAAAACACATGGTTGGCGGGGACTCGGTGATTGTGCCTAGCTGACGAACCTCAAGAAGGCGAAATCAGTTTTGGCCCGCGAAGAGTTTTCAACAAACATTTGAGTATCATGTTCAACCACAGTCAGACGTAGATGATCTTCCTCTCGTGTGTGAAGATTTGTGTATCAATGTTGTCTCATGTGGCGGTGAGCCGCGGAAAATCCAAAGGGTAACCTGTTTTGAGCCCCCTGAAAGTCAGTTAACGTCTAAAAGACCCAGTGGGACGTTTACTGCATTCTCTCCGGTAACAGTATTAGGAAGACACGCTTGTGAAGCCTGAGCGAGCATTGTGTAATGGAAACATAAAAGGCAGAGTG